GCAAGCCCCGAGCATCTTTCTCCGGTTTGCAATGATTTTCGTTAAATGCTTTATTTTAAATTGATGCATTACGTTCAGGAGTTGTTTGCAACCGTTCTTTGCATTATACCTTGTTTACCTTTATTATACTATATCCTTGTTACCACGGTATCCATGATCGAGTCAATGCTTAGGCTGGCTTAGACCGTAGAAGTCGGGTGATTTCTGTCACTGCGAGCTATAGGTGGTTACCGGATCTGTTTGGATGGCTATGAAGTCATGGTATAACTAAGTGTTAAATGAAGTTGAGACCCAAGGCGGAGACTTGCGGTGGTTTTGGACCGTAGTGTTTCCGTCGTGGTCGATTAAGGACCGACCGTTGTTGGGCCTCGAGTCATGTTGAACATATGCCTTACATTTAGTCGGCGGATAAAGTACCTTCCGACCGCATGAAAGTCGGGAGATTTTCGGGCCGAGTAGATTGCCCGCAGCGCAGCCGACCGTGTCAAGCGGTGTGGTAGGACACGGGGCGGGATGATAAGACCAAAGTGCGATCGGTCGGCCCCGGTACATGTGGTTCTGGCAAACTCGAGATACGGAAAGTTGACTCGGTGATCAATATCTCACTTTAGCGGGTGAGTGAGATTTGTGTAAGGAATAAATCACCGGTGGTTAGGAATCGATTCGAATCGCCATCGCCTCCGGATAGTGAGCACTTGACTTGAGTGACTTCATCGTAGTAAATGTTTATGGAACACTTGGATGCTTATAGTGAATATGATGAGATGGAAGTTGTTTAATGATCAGTGGTTATCATTAATTGCTTAATCACATGTTTACTCTAGTATAGGTGCAAATCTAGTCGACAGGTTAATAATAATTAACTTGACAATAATGCTTTTAGAAAGGTTCTTGAAATGCTAAAAAATGCTTCTTTCGCAAATGAGTCACTACCCTACTATAAAGCCCTTCATAATCCTTGGTGTCATTTATTTTCGGTTATGTCGGGTAAGTCTGGCTGAGTACATTCTCGTACTCAGGGTTTTATTCCCACTTGTTGCAGATGGGCAGATGTACTATGGCTATTGTATCAACTGCCTCTATCCTGCGATGGGTGATGCTTAGGACCATGGGCATGGTCATTCCTTACGTCTCATCTAATGCTTTTGTTGGAGATGATCATCAGCTGGCACTATATTTGAACTCCGTGTGAGTGTGTGTGGTTTTAAACAAATGACTTCCGCTACTTTTATTCGAACTTGTTTTGTAATAACTATGTGTAAACTCTGATGTATCTGTTATGCAAACTTTTATGTAATATGTGATTGGTGACCGCTAAACTTATTACGATCATGGTTGGGACACGAGTTGGTTTGAAATCCTTCGTGATTTCACGGACTACCGGGTTATACGGGCTTAAGTTTGCTCAATAAATGCGCTTTCGGGTGGATGATTTTCTTACTTAATTTCGTATAATTGGTCGGTTCATTACATGCCACCGATTCGGGATGTTGAAGTCATCATCCCACCGGCTCACGTGTCACTGATCCGAGATAAGCGAGACGATTCAGAACAAGCGCTAGAAGAACTTCTTTGCATGTAACAAAACGAAGAGCGAGAGCATACTCCTAGATATATCAAGATTAGGAGGAGAGAAGAAAACAGCAGCTCCAACTGGACCATCATCATCATCATCATCATATATTTCAGCCCAAGTTGTTCTTTTCTTACCGAGATAGGCTTGGAGGATCAGCCTTTTTAGCCCTTACAGAGCCATACAAATCATCATACTTATGATCTGACTTGAAAAGTAGAGTTCTAGTTTGCATCGACTTATTAGAATAATCAAACATCGATAAGCACATTTAACTTCTTAAGCACTTTGTTAAAACCTTTAATTTTAGCTCTTAGATCCAAGATAAATGCAATGCAAGAAAGATCGGTATGGTTCTCCAATACTTATTGTACTTATCAATCATAGGTTGAACAATAGTTCTAATATGTTCATCATTTTGATACTTATGCTTGGTGTATAGCAACCTTAACAATATGATGAACCATAAGTGGGGGCAAGAGGATAGTACACACCGCACAAAGCAAGCTGTTGAGTCATAAAAGCAGTTCAAGGAATTCCAATATTTTAGTTGCTATAGCCCAATGATCATGAGTCAAAAGAAAGGGGCCACCTTTAGGTCTAGGATAATTAGACTCAATGAAAGTATGAAAAATTTCCTTGTGTGGTAGCAAATGCCTAAGCATCAGGTATGTAGAGTTCCACCTAACATCCATGTCCAAAGCAAACTTCCTAGGTCTAGTACCAGATGCCATGCGGTAACTCTTCTTATATCAAACAACTCGAATGTTAGAAGAGTTAATCCATGATATTGCAGTTCTGAAAGCATCAATCAAAGCACTAACAGCAACCAAAGCCTCTTTAACAATCAGGTTTATGATATGACAAGCACAGCGTTGATGCAAAAACAGATCAGAACCTAAATACTCCTTAAGTACAGGTTTCAGTTTATCCATAGCTTTATTATTAGCAGAGGCATTGTCCAATGTAATGTAAAAGACCTTGTTCAATATACCATAATCATTAAGCACAATCTTAACACGTTCAAAGAATGTTATCGGCGTTATGTGATGCATCTATAAGCCTTAAGCCAAGCACCCTTTTTTCAAGTTGCCAATCAGCATTAATGTAATGACCAACAACACTCAAATAATCCTCTTTAGCATTTCCAGACCAAATATCAGAAGTAATAGCAGCAGATGAAATGGCATTATTCTTCAAATCTTCAATCAAACTATCACGCTTAGAATTGAAATACTTAAAAGATCTCTAGCTGTAGTTTGCTTAGACATGAGAGTACCTAGGGTTATGAGCAGTTTTTATGTAATCTTCCCGGGCCTCGGTTTCACCAAGACGCAGGGAAGGTCTAGCCTAGCAAGCAAACGAACAAGCTCCTTACGAGCAACCTCAGTGAGAATACTCCCAATTACGCACACTACCATCCTTATTGAAAGTAATGTGGGACCTGAGCCATGCGACATTTCTCACGCTTCTTAGGGCAAGAGTCTTGATGACGGAGAAGATGGCTGATCCCAAATTTAGAATTAGCAGAGTACTCCTTACGGCGGTGAAGACACCGAGCGCCATACACGACATACTTACCATTTACCTTCTTGATGAGCTTCTCGAAATCTTCCCCAGAGCCGAGGTAGAAGGGCAATTAGGCTTGCTGCTTGAGCCGTCATCACCAGCGGCTTGAGCTTGAGCGTCGCCCTGGACGGCGTTGGGGCCATCACCGTCGTCGACGGGAAGTGGGTTACCAGCAGTGCCGCCGTTGAGCTCCTCGGCAGCACGACGGCCGAAGAGCTCCTCGGCATCCCCAACGACATCGTCCTCGTCGTCTCCGGTCATCCTCCATAGGCAGAGCTCGTCGTTGATGGTCATGGAGAGACCGATGTCTTCCTGCTCGTCCGACATCTCGTCGTCGCCGGCCTCCGGTCCCTCAACGCCAGCGGCTTCAAAAAAAAAAAAACAGATCTAGGGTTAAATCAAGAAGAAGAAGAAGAAGAGATGAAGAACAAACAATCAAGAACAAGAAGTGAAGAACACCGAATCAAGAACAAGAAAAGAAATGAAGTGAAGAAGAAGAAGCAGATCTGAGCTCACCTCGCTTGACGGAGCACCAGAGGCAACGACGACGCCGACGTCGCTCAAATCCGACGTCCTGGTACCTCAACGCCTCCTTGCGGAGCCCCAATGACACCGGAGTCCGGCGAGGTCGACGAGACCGACGAGAGAGAGACGAGGAGGAGATGGAGACGACTAAGCTACATCGCCGGTCGTGGGAGAAGAGGGGGGTAGAAGGCCGTGTGTGTGTGTGCTGCGACCACCATTGTCGTCACCCGACCACCGGAGGGCGGGAAGAAGAGAGGAGATCGGGTGAGTGAGTGGCTAGGGTTTCAAGAAGAGAGGAGAGCGGGAGCGGAGCGCGGAGCGGATCGGGAAGCGGCCGAAGCGGGGAGAGAATAAACAGTGTTTCGGCTGCTCAGTAGCCTGTGAGGAGGCGGCCGCTGGCTTTATATAGCCACTCGTCCCAACCCTACATCCAACGGCTAGGAATCATGGGGTCTCCATCCAACGGCTCCAAGCCGTGCGACCCCGTCTTGCCGCCCTGGAGCGGGCGTGCGTGCGTGCCGTGCCGTGCTAACGGGCTGGCATCGCGCCGTGCGCGAAGCATCGGGCCGTCTGCCGCGCTTGGCACGGGCACGGGAGAGGCGGGCCGGGCCGTTTTCGTACCGGGCCAAATCAGCATCGTGCCCGTGCTGGCCCGATGGGTCTGGCCCGTTTGGAAATCTTTAATCGGCATACAGTATTCAAGGCCGTGCAATCTGATGTACACGTGCTCTTTCCATGAAACTTGCTGCAAGTCCCGTTCAGTGTGATGTCAGGTCCGGAGAAGTAGGTTCACGAACCAGCGTTTCCGTTTCCGTTTCCATGTGAAAGGTAACCAGAGAGAGGCGGAAACCAACACAAGAACATCGTGCCTTGTTGAAAATCGACGTCTGCGTGCGTTGGGGCGTTCACACTAGCATTTTCAACGGCGGAAGCATACCGCTCATCTAATGTTGATGTGCCATATGTTTTTTCAGTTTTCCAACAACTGCTCGTGTATGCTGGTCATTTAAAACTCCACCTGAAATGAGCCCTTTTGTGATTTGTGATTAGATAAGTATAACTGAGTATATTAAGACATAATCACAAGTTCAACGGACCAAGTTACATTTCAAAAGTATATTGTAGTAGTCTTTCCTTCTGTGTCGGAAATGACTTGTTTACACGCAAGAATAGCACAGAACTTCAGAAACAAAATCAGCGGGACGTCAGCATCCGCCAACAGCATGCTGCAGTGCTACGTCAGCCTATTTTACTCGGCCTACACATGGTGTGAAAGCTAGAGGTTCTTGATTGTCACTTTGCCAGTCTTCGAGTCTCCACGTTGTTATCATAATCAATTAACCTTGTGACAAGATCTCTCATCTTCCTCTACACAGGCTTTAAGGCCAAAGCGATACGCCATCCTTTCAAGAAGATCCTTCCTATCCGAGGGAGAAACCATAACGTTCACAGTCCCCTTCCCTCTCCAGCAAACAATGGCAATTGTGGAGGGATCCTTAGAAATGGAATCTACATGCTTATGCCCTGAAATACTAGTACTAGAGAAAGTTAAATTATGATGTCATGGTTTCTTTTATCTTCAGATAGGGCATAATGTTACCTTCGAGTAACAACACTACAACACAGCAACCAGGCATCAAGGATGCAGCTTGCTCCCCAAATCTGGTGTCGAGAAAATGAGCGAAGTTTATGCTTCGGTACTGTAAAAGGCGGTGGAAGTCAGCTGGGGATGCATATAGTATCCTCTTGCTGATGTATGGAAGCAGTAGCGATAATCCCTCATAAGACAACCTATATGCACATGGACAGGCTTCCTTTGATCTATGCCTTTCCTGAAAGAGAACAGAGTACCTCAAAGTTTGAGTAAAATATGTATGTTCTTCCACTGTTGAATGTTCCTAAGAAATCTTGAATCAGTAAGGAACACCGTGTGTTTAGAGCAGTTTATACTTACAAACATTTTAACACCAAGTGAAGCTATCTTGAGCTGCCCACCAACTTCTGCATTCAGCTCCAAAATCTCTTTAACTGATTTTGATACGTAATATATTCTCCTTGCATTATCAGTACTTCTAGTCACCAGATGACCTTCGAGTGGGAATGATTCCTTCATGCCAAAGAAGGATATTATACTCTTTATCACCGCTTCATCATTCAAAAATAAGACAGGATCAACCCCTTTCCACCTGCTTTGCTTTTGCAACTCCATTCTATCTCCTGACTCTGGTTGAGTGCTTTCTACATCACCTAAAACCATTTCAACTTCAGTTGACTTCTTATCCTTTGAAGTTTGGCTGTCTGTGCTTAAATTCTGTCGCCTACCCAGCATTTCAGTATCATCGACTTCAGAAACATTGTGCTGTTGGCGTGTCAAAATAGTTTCATAGGGTCGTGTTTCTTGCTCAGGTTCTTTCTGAAACTGCATAATCCTGTCTGTTCCAAGTGTGTGCTGAATTTTAGTATCCTTTATCTGACTGCCTGAAAGAATATGGATCATTCAAGCATACAGTGGGAGTATTAATTATGCAAACTTTTGTGGAAGGAATTGAGTGGCATCATAAAAAAAGAAAGCGTGAGATTACCATTCAAGGGCGACAATTTATGAAGAACTGCGATGAAAAATGCCCCGCTGTTTTGGTCATGAGGAACAATCCTCATGCACCGATGCAGTGGAAATTTTGAACTCACAATGTTTGAAGTGCAATCCAAAATTTTATTGGGACTGATAGAAACTCCATCCATGTCATGATTAACTTTTTTTGTTTCTTCAATGTTAATATTTCTTGAGAAGATGCTCATATTATCCTTGTTCACTTCAACATCACCACACACAGTATGGCTTTCCTCAGTGCTATTACTTGCAGGAAACATGCTTGGCAACACTACATTCTTCCTATTGTGTGGAACTTCATCGTGACTCTGAAACCAAGATTCTCGATCTTGTACCTGCAGGAGTCAGAAAAGGAACCACTGGGATAACCAGAATAGAAGGATAAGATTTTCGCCACGTTCGTTACATATTGTACATTGTCAAGTAGGGACTAAATGTTTGACTAAAACACTGAAATGGAAAAAAGGTTTATTCTAAAAACAATCATAATTCTACAAACAAAAAAGAAACAACTATAGATCCTTTGCTTACAAATAATTGTCAACTTCAGCCAATACGCATAAACCAATTAAAACAATTGTGATGTCAATTGGACCAAAAGGCTCCGAGTTATCACACGTATAAAAAAGAGGAACCAAAGTAGATGGTAAAGACAGAATATATAGGGGCATTTTGGGAAAACATTTCAGGAATCACGAACAAGATAAATAAGGGGAAAAAGTCTATATAACCCCCCAACTATTTAGGGTGGACTACTTCACCCCCCAACTATAAAACCGGATTTTCTACCCCCTGAACTTTCCAAAACCGGTCAAATAACCCCCCAGGCGGTTTTGGACAGTGGTTGCTACAGTGACGGTGGTTTTGTCTTTCTTTTTTATTTATTTCTGCTGAATCTTTGAAAAATCATAGTAAATCACAGAAAAAACATAAAATGGAAAATCCAATTTTGTTGGACTCCACATGAGTAGATCTACACAGTGAACATATAATATGGTATGCTTTAGTACAAAGTTTTTGCTGTAGCTTTAGATCTATGCTTTTCTATAATTAATTTAAATAACTCATAGTTGCAGCTTCTATGGTCTAATTGTGGTGAAACTTTTATGGTGGGCTAATTATTGTATGATTGAACTGTAGTAAAAAATTTATACTCATTGGATCATGTATAACTTAGTTATAGATTTATTTAGGTTTATTCTTGTTAAATCTATGTTTTATCTATAACTAAGTTATACATGATCAATGGGTATGAAATTTATACTATAGTTCAAGCATACAGTAATTAGCCCACCATAAAAATTTCACCACAATTGAACCATAGAAGCTGCAACTATGAATTATTCCAATTAATTACAGAAAAGCATAGATCTAAAGCTACAGCAAAAACTTTGTACTAAAGCATACCATATTATATGTTCAATGTGTAGATCTACTCATGTGGAGTCCAACAAAATTAGATTTTCCATTTTATGATTTTTCTGTGATTTACTATGATTTTTCAAAGATTCAGCAGAAATAAATAAAAAAGAAAAGACAAAACCACCGTCACTTTAGCAAAACCACCGTCCAAAACCGCTTTGGGGGGGGGTATTTGACCGGTTTTAGAAAGTTCAGGGGGGTAGAAAATCTGGTTTTATAGTTCAGGGGATGAAGTAGTCCACCCTGAATAGTTTGGGGGGGTTATGTAGACTTTTTCCATAAATAAAGTGGTCAAAAGTGATAAGTATCTATACTTCGAGAGAGTAAAAAAATGAGACCTGTGCTGACACTCAGCTAATTTCTGCATGTAAAAGATTATTTGTAAACTAAAAAATCACAACGAAAGTAAAGCCATTGATTAAGAATGAGCAATCTTATTAGATACAACACATAAAAAAGAAAGAAACCAAGGGATCAACCTTGGTATAGATATAAGCACACAAACCTTCCAAGTGCTAAGCCCAGGACGCCGGACCAATTCAGGTAGCTCGCTAGAAACATCAAGGAGCTCAACAGAGTTTCCACTTCTTCGAAGGAGCTATATGATTATGAGATACATGAACAACTTGCAAAGCGAATTCATGTTACAGCACACATATGTGAACAGAATGTAAAAATGAATAGCAAATGGTATTTGTATGCAGAAGCCTAAAGGAAAGGTAATCACGCATAGTTAAGCACTCAAGTTTTCAAAACTACACCAACGCAAATAACATATGATTTTTTTTGGAATTTCCTCTACAGGTCTTCGGGGTTCTGATGAGACGGCTCAGATTGGGGCTTGTGCTTAGCTGCCTCATAAATCCAGTGGCATGAGCCTGTAAGGCATACAAATTGAATTTCTCCAGATATCATTTTGGATTCTATAAGCTACCATAATTGCCTTATTAAACGACCAGCCTATAAAGCACCCAAAACTATGTGACTAAGCTACTCCAGAAGACCTTCAATGCTTCAACAGCTCAGAGATTTTGCTCATATCTAGGCTAGAAGTCGCAAGAATTTAACAGCTTTATGTTCAACAGCTAAAGGTAAGAAACTACAGTTGATACCTCAGCTATCACAGCTTCATTTTCAACAGGATTCATTGAACAAGTAGAATAGACCATCCTTCCACCCACTTTAAGTAATGCAATACCTTAAGAAATAAAATAAAACTGTGATATTACATACTGTTAACCTTAAAGCTTCAAATGATATATTTTGCTCTCAAACTGTGATATATTATGCAGTAGAACTCCTCAGAAATTCTCAGGTCGGTATGTTTAAAAACTCATGGTATACTATGATTACTCAATTAGAAAGAAAAATCACCCCCAACAAAGTGTCAAATCAATATTAACAGATCCATACCACGCATTGCAATATTTACTTGCAGAAGATGAAGTTGGTTACCCATGCCTGAGTTCCTGAACAACAATAACAGATTGCGACCTGAGGATACATACAGGGAAGTATAAAGCAGCAGACAAAACAAAGATTCAGTTATTACCACTTTCTCCACATGTCATAACCCTTGCGAATAGTCCCATCACCACTACAGGGAACATCACAAAGTATGCGGTCGAATTCTAACCTCTGTAGTTTGCAGGGATCTTTATATGATTCTAAATAATCCTTTGCAAGGGAACAATAGGGGAAGTTTTCTGCTTCATGATTTGTTACTATTAGGTTGGCGGTGCACATTCTCTTTGTATTATGGATAAGGAGGTCACATCTTCGCACATTGAGATCATTGGCTATCACCTAATCAGTCTCACAAGAAGGGAGAATATATATGTTAGTACTTAGATTACCCCAGATTAGGGAAGGAGGATTTGATGAGAAGTGAGAGGATAGGAACAGTGACCAGTAGGCCGACGCCCAAGTCAGGGGTGGAAGAGATGGGCTAAGCCTTTGATCTACTTCCCTTAAGTTGCAAGGGTACATGGGGCCTCTATATATAGGGAACTATGACTTAGGGACAGAGGTAGTACAGGAGATAGAGCTCCTAGCCATCTAGGCTCTAGATCCTTCTTAGTTCTTACCATGCCGGCGCCACAGCCTACAGTACACAAGTTAGCATTGACCCCATAACAGTACAGCAGGCCTGACTGAGCCGCTTACTGGGCCAAGTTGATCCTGGGCCATACCAATATAACTAAAATATTCATTTCTCATAAGTCTTTGGAAATTATAACACAACTAGTTCTACTAGCTACATGTAACAAAACTAAATACTAACAACTAATATGACTCCAAAAATCATCAAGAGTTATAAGAGCAAGAGCAATAGTTTTAGTGCCACATGAAACTGAGGGAGAAACATACCAATGCTCCTGGAAGTAGCCCTGGTTCTTTTGATTGGTGAATCATCTCAAGTAACTGAAAAGTTTTAGAGCCTGGAGCAGCACACACTGCACAAGATACGCAGATACATGTGAGGCTATACTATTGGAGTATTTTGTCATCCAATCAAAATGAAAGAATACCCATTGACACAGTCGGTTTGTATGAGAAGCACAGGATATATAAGATAACAGACAAGAATTAAACAGGGACATACTATCAAGAATATGGTGATCAGGTTGTACATTCAGAAACAGTGGCGGAACCTGTAGAAATAAATTTCAGTTAATGAAACAAGACTTCATCTAAGAGAATCGAAAAAACAACTAAAATACAAGATAACAGAGGTGACAATATTTATCAACAAATTGACACAGGATGCCCACCATGCTAACAGCCTCTTGCCTAGTTATGTTACCAACCTCACTCTCATGCTTCAGAAACTCATGAAAACTGGAACAGAAGAGTGAATCAACAGAGTAGATTAATCGATAGCACATTAATATAGCAAGAGAAATTAATTGTTCTGAATAATAATAGTTTGAAAGTGAAAAGAAATATATTGCCGACCTCCCCATAACAATTTAAACTTTTGGGAAAACTGGTTGTTGCTCATAAAAACCAATACTATTTAAGCCAATGTTCCTGAAATTAGATAACTTTAATAACACAATTGTGGAACAAATATTCCCTAGGTTAACCTGATACTCCACCAATCTGCAGTACCGGTATCTGATGCTTATCGGACATCCCGATACTTCTGACCCAATACAACTCAGTTTGAAGTCCACTTCAAGACCATCTCAGTAATCTCCACCCCCATCCCAAATCCCTACCATATATTCACTGATGCAAAGGCAAGAATGTCTCGTATTTATGTTACATAGACCAAGCAAGGTTCATGTCATGCCAAGACTTAAACATCATGTTGCAATTGATTACCTCTCGAGTGCCTTGTTTTTCCTCAATTCCTTCCGAGAGAAATTTAGATGCCACGCAAGATTGCATGGGTACCAAGGCAAGGGAGTTATAGCATCTTCTCCATGCTCATTACTGACCTTTGCAGTGAGTTTTTTAAATATAAATTAGAAAATATCTAGGATCAAGTAAGGAGAAATTCATAGACGACAGAGAAAAGGCTACCTCACTCTCCAAAGATCGCCTAAATTCATTTTCCAACTTAGAGCAGATATCTTTATAAAACTGGCAACTGAAAAGGAAAGTGGAAATGTAAACCTTCAGCTTACATGGTAAGCACTAGTAAAAGATGAATTATTGTATTCATGCATCAAATACAAAAAAATAAATTTATCCTTTGTGAGAATAGCATGATATTGCCTAATGGAATAAACTTTTGCAGTAACTACACTGAAAGGTTAGCTAATGGCACACTTGAAGCTACCCTGAAACTGCATGAGTCTTATAATAAGTGACAATTAATTGGATGGTTTACACGCATTCCTAAGGCAATTCAGAAGTACGGGTTCCTTACTGGACTACCATAAAGCGCAGATTGCAAATAAACTATCTAATACAACCCTTGCACATGACTACTTGAATGGCAGATTAACCAGATATCCAAGTCATGGAGCAGCCAGCCTTTGATAACCAAAGGCTTTGGGTGCAGAACGAGGAGAGATGGGCATCACGTCCAAGAGAACATGAACCGTTGATGACAGTGGTCCATGTGGAGTTACTCAAGCCAAGGAATTGGATAACTAAATGAAGACCTCAGTGGCAATTCATGATTCCACTTCAGAGTAACCAGCATTACCAGGCATTGATCCGAAAGGTTGCTGGTAACGGTTTCCGCAGGACGTTCATGAAGGCATCCCACTCCTCCTTGCGGACAATTTGCTGAACCTGCCCAAACAAATATGCAAGTGCGATCACACACCCAGAAGAACAGGATCCTGAAACCATGCCATTTTCTACGCAACACTGTAACTCCGAATACGAAGACTAAACTCCCCTAGTACAAGAGTACATAGTGGCAATCAGTTAAACCGCAGTCCGCAGACCTATAATACAGAAAAAAAAATGTTCATATATGAACACAGACACATTTGTCATTACTGCATCAACAAAAAAGTTCCAATCTCAACAAACAAGCTGTCACCCCAGAGACTGCAGCCTGATTTCACTTCAAATCGCGCCAGCCAATGCGATAGATAGGAAAGAAGCTATGTGAAATCGAAATGGGAACCACACCTTATAGTACTCCTCGAAGGTAGCGTTCTCGAGTACTGGCGGCTGCCGCGAGGGTTTGGCCTCACCGCTGGTGAAGGCGGTGCCGGCAGCGGGAGGGGCAGGAGGATGGGTCCGGGGACTGTGCCTCCAGAGGCTCTCGAGCGCCTGCGCGAACTGGCGGCACGGCGCGCGGCCGCGCCTCCTTTCGCTGCCCCCGTCGCATCGCCCCCGCTGGCCGCCGGCGACGACGCGGTGGTGGAGCGAGATGGGGGTCCTCGCGGCTAGCATGCCAGCGTTTCAATTTGTTGCTCGTGGATTGTGATGACCTGGTGGGGTGGGTGGGCTCAGCAGGATTAGGGTGTCGTCAACAAGGATAATGTACAGTGTAGTTGCAAAGATGCACAGCTCGTATTTTTTTTAACCTTGGTTTTGATTTAACAAGTTGTTTGCTGAAAGGAATTGAATGGCATGGCAACCGAGCATCTGATCCTAATTTCAAAATCTGGCATGTTAGGGAACAATATGATGATTCTAAGATTTATACATGATATAAGTATTTACACTTAGCGTGCTCTGCAACCTGTTCGCTGGCTCGTATACGATCGTGGATTATAAGCTGTAATAGTATTTTTCTCTCACATCAAATCAGCCAGCAGTAAATAATCCACGATCATTTACGACGAAACGAACAAGCTGTTGATTCCTCAAAAACTGTACAAAAGTTTTTCTGAAAGAGCCGCTTTTTCAATAAATAATCCACGCGATTTATTTTGGAGGAGCCACAATTTGTAGCTCGAACAAAGCTCCTCTGATTCCTCGGAGGAAAACTATAAATCTTCTACGGTACAAATGCATGAAACCCTCAAGACACAAGAACAAAAGACGACCCGATCAAAATTTGACTAGTTCAAAACGTAACAACGAGAATATGCTAGCATATTAGAACAATAGTAGACAGATTTTGTATAAATTTGAATGTCCATTCATGAATCAGAATATACACTGTATTATTTATACACACACATACACGACTGCTTCGATCACCCACAACCTGGAAGAGAAACCGGAGGTAATATTTGAAAGACAAATGCATAAGTACAAGATTCCTGCTTCGAATGGTCATACTCGTACTACCAGTCTTCCATCGCCTGTTCATTCATGTTTCAACTTCAGTAACTACATAAACCCACCAGATAGATTCAGTGTATAGTGTAATTCTCAGGAGGGAAATTTAGAACAGCTAAGTTACGAGTAGGAGAGCAGGTGAAGGTAACTTGCATTTTTTATTTATATATGACACCGGAAATCAAAAGGTTGTCTTGTTTACCAGTACGTGACAGCAAAATTGGACACAGCAACTAAGGCCTGGTTTAGATTGTAATTTTTTGCAATCTGGACACTGTAGCATGTTTCGTTTGTATTTGACAAACTTTGTCCGATCATGGACTAACTAGGTTCAAAAGATTCGTCTCGTGATTTACAACCAAACTGTGTAATTAGTTACTTTTTTTTACCTACATTTAATGCTCCATGCATGCATCCAAAAATTGATGCGATGGAGAGAGAGTGAAAAAACTTGAAACTTTGATGTAATCTAATCAAGGCTTAAAACAAAACCGAAGGACTAGTCCTTGTCAGTGAACTTATCACAGTTCACAGACGAATGGAACCCAGGGGTGCGTTTAGTTCGGCACCTGCAAACTTTGTAGAGTGCACGATTCTCTACTGTAGTATTTCGTTTGTATTTATGAATTATTGTCCAAACATTGATTAATTAGGCTCAAAAGATTCGTCTCGCAAAGTTAAAGCAAACTATGCAATTAGTTTTTATTTCGTCTACATTTAGTACTCCATGCATGTACCGCAAGTTTGATGTGACGAGGAATCTTCTTTTTACATAATGCACTTTTGGAGAACTAAACAAGGGCCATGTGGTTTGTGTTCAAAGGCGACGAGGCAATCCTCGTTTTCCTAAGGCGCTCCACGATGATGAATGCCATCTCCAGAGACTGTGAGGCGTTGAGCCTTGGGTCACGGTGCATGTGGTAGCGTGAGCCCAGATCATCAAATGTCACGGTACGTGACCCTCCAATGCACTCTCTAACATTTTGTCCAGTCATGTCTAATAGAACTTAAATACTTCTAGGCGTAGATCGGTGGGTAATACTTAGCTTAGATGAGGGGATTTGCTGATAAACCTCGTGTCGAGCGCAGTCGCGGCCATGGCGCCGCCAACAAGGTAGCAGCGATGTGGAGACGCGGTCCAGTAGCGGCGAAGGCGATGGCGCTTCCCGTCGCTTACAGTGCGCCCTTCTAGATCGAACTAGGGTTAGAACATGGTGGGGCACTGGCGGCTGCGGTGAACCTCGTGACTCGAGCCCTAGCCCCCACCTCCTATTTATTACGCTGCACGACGGGGGCCCATCGGGAGAACGGCTGGGTACCCCCGATCAAGGTGCGAATTAAGAGCCCAATTGGCCGTTTGGCTAAATTGGTGGAGATCAACCTAACATTCTCTCCATTATCTCATCTTATGACTTAAACTCAACTTCATTTTTCTTTTTCTCATTCCATCACAGATCAGTGCATAGAGCGTGCCTCATCGTCACGGTCAGTTGACATTAGATTTAACAGCTATAATGCACTTCTCTGTTTTGAAACAGATACTCAACTAAGCCCTTAGTATTCAGAAATCATAGGCTTTCCTGTAAACTCATTTCGACTGTGTGTTCTCTGAACGCACTGGGTGGTAAGCCTTTGATAAGCGGGTCCGCAAGTACTTACTCGATACTTATGTGCTCAATGCTTTCAAAATGATTCTGGATTTTCTCCTTTACAGCATATAACTTAGTGTCGATGTGTTTGGCAGCACACTTGATCTGTTGTCTTAGGAGTTAACTTATTTTAAATGATTATTACTGTTGTCTACCATTGTTAAATCCGGATACAAATTCTCTTAACCTCCTTTTGCTTGTTCTTTAAGGCTCATGTCAAGCTATACTATGGTGTGCATCACTGATGACACTATAACTGTTTCTTTGGAGCCTTTCCATAATAATACTCTAACTACGAGTGTTAGCAACTACTGTGGATTTCACTACACATCTCGTCAAGACTTAACATTTGTACCCTCAACTATTTGAGAGTACTTGTTCTTTCTTACTCAGCATGAGGCCTATGATACTTTGCAAAATTGCAAGACATTCTCAACTCCATTCCAGTGACCTATATCTGGAATGAACTTCTGCCAAAATATCTCGGATACATAAACTACGTCAGGGTAAGTTCTTACTTGTACTTGTACACTCATCAAGCTTCCAACAGCTGAAGCATATGGAACTATGTTCATTCGATCGATCTCATATCGGTTCTTGGAACACTTAAAATTCTCAAATCTATTACTCTTGACTAGAGGAGCAGTCGTAGGTTTACTCGCATGCATACTTTATTTCTTTTAAATATTTTCTAAGTATGCCTTTGCGATAGTCCTAATACCCTATTTTATTCTATCTCGATGAATTTCGATTCCTAGAACCAATGACGCTTCACCAAGATCATTCACATTTAAACTTGAGGACAAAACTTCTTCTCCAATGACAGATTAATATCACTACTAGTGAGTAGAATGTCATCTATTCACAAGATGTGGAAAATAAAATTTCTATTCTTGAACTTCGCATAAATGCTATTGTCCTTCTCATTTTCTTTAAAACCCAAACTTTCTCATTGTTTCATCAACTTCAAATACTACTGTCTAGAGACTTACTTTTAATCCATAAATGGATTTCTACAGGCGACATCCCATATGTTCTTTTCTTCCATGACAAAACCTTTTAGGTTATGCCATGTAAACGTTTTCATACAAATCCCCGTTGAGGAATGCCGTCTTTACATCCATCTGATGTATTTCTAAATCGTAATGTGCCATGAGCACCATTATGATTCTAAAAGAATCCTTACATGAGACTAGAGAGAAAACTCTCATTGTAATCTATTCGTTCTCTTTGCGTAAAGCCTTTTTTTACAAGTTGTGATTTATATCTTTCTATATTCTCTTTAGAGTCACGTTTTGTGATGTAGACCCTTTACAACCTATTGTTTTGGCTCCATTAGAAATTTCTTCTAAGTCCCAAACATCATTGTTATTTATCGAATTCATTTCAACTTTCCATAGCTTCTTGCCATTTAAACGAGTAAATGTTTCTCATGGCTTCTTCAAATAAGGTGGGATTACCCTCCATTTGAATTTCTTTACCAACATAGACTTCATAGTCATCAGAAAAACTGATTTACTAATTCTTTGAGACCTTCTGGGGCCTTAGCTACTGGCACTTTCATATGGGGCTGTTGTTGCTTTTCATTGCCAAGAGGCAATTGATTCTATAGGCTCCTATATCACAAGATCCTTGTTTATATTATTCATCTTCTTCGAAGAGTCAACAATAGGTGTTGTATAAATCATACAACATCAACATGTATTGAGAGATTCGTTGTTTTGAATCAATGAAGTGGGCACGTAGTCCACTTCTCTTCAAGTCTTAGGTCTCTACATTATGGCAGAACCGCTCAAAATAACACACCTTCGGAGGCGCTCGTCTTCCACCAGACACTAAGCACCCCAAGAGCGAGATACTTCGAGAGTTCCGTCGAGCACACCCCAAGGAAGAACTCGAATAATCCACGTTTTCCTCCAAGATCCAATAATAAGAACGAGTTTACAATACTTAGTCCATTTCATACAACGAGAGTTCTTAGAAATACATTATTACAGTACCAAGTTTAGAGTATGGAATTTAAACAGGGAAATTAAAATAAACGTCTATCGATAATATACAAGGATCCGTCTGTGCCCACCAGAAGAATCCTTCACACAACAACAACTCCTCAAGCTACACCTGCAATAGAGGTAAATAAACCCTGAGTACACAATGTACTCGCAAGACTTACCCGACTAGTGGGAATAATTTTTTGACTCCAAAAGATATGATAAGCTTTATGGTTTGCTGGGTTTTCTTTTTGTGAAAAGCAATACTAGTAGTGAATCATTATATATGTTTTTTATTAGCAGTCATGATTAGTTCATTATCTAACCATTCTAGGTCAGCACATGTTCTACTTTCAAGCAAGAGTTGAGCAAACAGATCTATTTCACCATCTTTCATCTTTCAGTTCTTACTACGATGCCAGATTGTAGACAAGTCGTACCGGATTACCCGACGATTTGTGAATCAATGTGCCTAGCTGGGTATCTAGAAACACATGCCCCGCTTGTACCCTGGCACAAGCAG